CATCAGTTGCAACACATCAGTTGCAACACATCAGTTGCAACACATCAGTTGCAACACATCAGTTTCAAGGCATCAGTTGCAACACATCAGTTGCAACACATCATATGCAACACATCAGTTGCAACACATCAGTTTCAAGGCATCAGTTGCAACACATCAGTTGCAAGGCATCAGTTGCAAGGCATCAGTTGTGTCAAGTATCAAGTCAGAAATCGGAAAAAAACAATTTAATTGTCTTAACATCAAATGAAATGTAGTGAACTAAAATACTGGATACTGGTGATATTGCAATTTCATGAAGCGCAACATAAAATTGAAAGAGCTTTAGACTTTAGTCATACGGGGAAAAATTTTGCTGTACGGTACATAAAAAATATATCTCGGGACATATATTATTATGCGGTAAGAGAAACCTTTTTTTGGACACACCGAAACTATAGCCAATAAGAAATGCGTCCAGGTTTATTTTCCATTGATCCTAGGTTTCACAGGTTCAATTTTTTATTACATAATTATTCATTAGGAGATACGTACACAAAAATGAAGGCTTTATATTACTAAACTATTACTAATACCTTCGAATCAAACTGCTACAGTGTTCAAATTTTCTTATGAAAATCCTAAAATTTTTCTAATCTTGAAGCCATGGCAATGCCCACAGCTGCTAGTGTTTAGGACATCCTCTTGTAACACTGTAGTCTCATTAGGAAAGTTAGAGCTTTAAAAGTAAGTAGCTCGTCAACAGTCTTCCCAGCTTTCTTTCACATTTTTGCACTACTGTATTTACTGTCCTGATTAAAAGACTTCATTAAGACTTCTTAGCAATCAATTGCAACATAAACCAACTCATTCTTACCTGACTTTCTCTTGTAATTGATGATTATTATCTCAATGCTTGAAATCTGTCGGTGATGATTTCGTGGAGCGAAATCATCAGAAATTGTGGGTCGAAACTGTTAGTTTTCTAGCCTAACCGTTAACAATTAGGTCAAAATATTTGCAAGCCATACTTTGCANGTTGTGTCAAGTATCAAGTCAGAAATCGGAAAAGACCAATTTAATTGTCTTAACATCAAATCAAATGTAGTAAACTAAAATACTGGATAATAGTGATATTGCAATGTCATGAAGTGCAACATCAAATTTAAAGAGCTTTAAACTTTAATCTTACAGGGAAAAATTTCGCCATGGACAAAAAATATATCTCGGGACATATTATATTATTATAATATATATACATATATTATATTATAATAATATATATACATATATTATTATGCAGTAAGAGAAACCTTTGTTGGACACATGGATGCTATAGCCAATAAGAAATGTATCCAGGTTTATTTGCCATTGATCCTAGGTTTCACAGGTTCAATTTTTTATTACTTAATTATTAATTAGAATATACACAAAAATTAAGGCTTTATATTACTAAACTATTACTAATGCGTTTGAATTAAACTGCTACAGTGTGCAAATTTTCTCATGCAAATCATAAAATTTTTATCATCTTAACACTGTAGTCTCATTAGGAAAGTTAGAGCTTTAAAAGTAAGTAGCTAGTCAACAGTCTTCTCAGCGTTCTTTCACATTTTTGCACAACTGTATTTACTGTCCTGATTAAACGACTTCATTAAGACTTCTTAGCAGTCAATTGTAACATACACCAACTCATTCTTACCTTTCTTTCTCTTGTAATTGATGATTATTATCTCAATGCTTGAAATCTGTCGGTGATGATTTCGTGGAGCGAAATCATCAGAAATTGTGGGTCGAAACTGTTAGCCTTCTAGCCTAACCGTTAACAATTAGGTCAAAATATTTGCAAGCCATACTTTGAAAAGAACAAGCAAGAGTTTTAAGAATGACAATATCTAGACTCTAATCTGCTCTCATATATAATCTTAATGAGAGTTCAAGACAATTTACGATAGACTGGTGAGACCACAACAATTAAATAGATCACAGAGAAATGATAAAAATATAACTCACTGCAGTGAGTGACAGAGAGCGCATTTTCTCGTCGACGAAAACGTGTAGTCACGGACGGACGGACAGACATGACGAGAACAATAGCGTCTTTTTTCCATAAATGAGAAAATGCGCTAAAAATTAGAGTAAATGGAGTTGATCTCTCCTGGCGCTATGGGAATTTTTGACGGGAAGTTAAAGAAAATTTATGATAGACTGGTGAGACCACAATTAAATAGAACACAAAGAAATGATAAAAGATGAGAGTAAACGAGCAAGAAGGCATGTCACCTCCATAATTAGGAGCATGGAGCTGCTCCCTCCTGGCGCTGGAGACGGGAAGTTCGTCGTCTTCTGACGCGGATGTGGCGGGCACACTGGTGCCGGGGGAGGAGGCCGTGAGGGGGAATGGTGAAGTGGAAGGTGATGTGGTGGAGGAAGAGCGATGAGGCACCATAGAATGGTGTAGTGAAGCAGTACTAGCTTCATCATAGTCTGTGTTATCTGTGTTATAGTCTGTGTTATAATCTGCACCACAAGATGGCGCGGAATTGCGGGCTTTGCGGACTGGCTGCGCCTGCACATCAAGCAAATACTTATTGATAAACTCCAGATGCTTAATTAAAAACCACATCTTGTATCTAGCACACGCATAATATAATCTACACTAAATTTAACCCTGTCTGCCTGGCATATATATTTTCCTCACAGTCACACTTGAATCTTATTGATAGAGCAGATCATACAATACACTCCCTGACAACAATAATGATGTTTGTTCTCTGGTGAACCATACAATACACTTCCTGACAACAATAATGAAGTCTGTTCTCTGGTGAACCATACAATACACTCCCTGACAACAATAATGAAGTCTGTTCTCTGGTGAATGGTCATCATACAATACACTACTTTACAATAGGTAACAACCTATTTTCAGATGGATTGTACAATAAACAAACTTCCAATAGTTAGCAAAGCTCGTCCTTGCATCAATTGAACAATATACTTAATAATAATAATATTAATAATAATGTCAGCTAATATATTAGGTGACATGATCTTACAGAGAGCAGGAATTGAAGTTTACACTGCAAAACGAGGTGACTTGGACCATTTTAATGTTCAAGAAAAGTTAGCCTTATGCTCAAAAAGTTATTGCCAGGAAAAATTTTGTTGATGGCCTTTGACGTACCATGAGATCACCTAAAAATCCAATAAAGAGATATATTTAAAATAATTACTATATGAGACAATTTGTAGCAGGAGTTTTAGGCTACCTCAGACATTTTTTCTTCCAGTCTGAGAAGATTTTAATGACGATTTCTAAATTTTCTTGCCATTTATTTCCTTCTTGAGTGGCCATGAATTTGATTGACATTGTTAATACTATTATACTACATAACTGTTTCAAGATTACTAACTGATGACATAAAAGGTTAAACATCTTTCCAGAGAATAAACATGGATCCTTCAAACATCAAATGAGTAGCACTAAAATAACAAGCACTTCAAGCCTGGCAATATAGTTAACAGAATCATTTGAACCAACATTGCATTAAATTAATAGTTATTGGGTTAATGTCTGATGATGCAATGATATCTAAGATAAAGCAGCTCAACAGGTTTAGTTCAATAGCTCTGTTAGCAGCAGTCAATTAAATTAATAGTTATTTGGTTCATGTCTGATGACGCAATGATATCTAAGATAAAGCAGCTCAACAGGTTTAAATAAATAGCTCTGTTAGCAGCAGTCAATCCAAATAGCTGAGCATTGCTTTCAAGACATCTACTTGATAGAAGCAGCAAAATTCAAATGAATTATCTTGAATAAATTTAACTTGGCCTTTCACAGTTTTATTGCTTCAATAAAACAAGTACAGAGTATTACAGAGTACAAAGGGGCTACAGATTCGGAATAGGAATATAATACTTAAGGTATTTTTCACAAATTCAATTCTGAAACTGTACAAGTTTAAGATTTTTCTTATGTCATCCATTTTATTACCACATTTCCATGGTTCCATTCATTTTTTGAAAGAATTAAAGCTAATAGAATGTTTCTGTAATAGTATTTTACATGATATATAAAGTTTCAGAAAGATTGGCTTATTGGTAAAGAAATTTTTTACTTAAAACAAGACTCTTCTTTTCAGGAAGTTGAAAGTTTTTTCTGCCAAGTGCACAGCAAAACCCTGACAGTCAAATCACTGAGAATGGCGCTTTAAAATGTGTAAAATCTATATCAAACTAACAGTCTGATATAAAACAATCATAATGAATAATTTTGATTCTCCAATTGAAAAAAGTGCAACTAAACAATCAAAAATTTAGCAAAATTAAGAAGAGAAACATAAAAAAATGCTTGCAAGAAACTCTTGCTGGATCATGTAGGGCATTAGGGAACTAATTCATAGCTTTACTAATAAATACTTTTAAATTGAATAACAATTTATAATTAATAATAACTAAACTAACAAATTGTAAATAACATTAAAATTTAGGCCACCAAGACATGAAAAAAAATTTCCGGAAGGATTAAAAAATTTAATTTTATATCATATCTTCATCCAAACAGAATGTATAAATAAATTATGTGAAGTGGCTGTCTTCAAAAAATTTCAATCTATACAATAGTTCAGAAGTTTAATGATGAAATAAGTCATAGCTATGCAAAATAAAAACTATCGTACAACATTATAATTGACTGCTCAATTAATAATACTCTTTATATTTAAAATATTAAATTAATAATACACTTTATTTTTAAAATTAATAATACAGCACACACGACACCCACCCTGTTGTGGGGGCGGCCGTAGAGATGATTAATAATACTCTTTATATTTAAAATATTAAATTAATAATACTCTTTATGTTTAAAATTAATAATACAGCACACACGACACCCACCCTGTTGTGGGGGCGGCCGTAGAGATGATTAATAATACTTTTTATTTTTCAAATATTCATTTAATAATACTATTTATTTTTTAAAATTAACAATACTGCACACACAACACCCACCCTGTTGTGGGGGCGGCCGTAGAGATGAAGCCTCTTGTTATGCAGCGAGCTGAAGAGCTTGTCACACTTGCTGCAGTACAGCTCCTCTGGAGCATCGTCCTGGCAACCAAATGCTGCTTCATATGTTGGATTAGACACGTGAAACCTCCACTAACTGGTACAAGGTCATTAACAATATAATCATCATCATGATGATATATAATATCCAAATTGGTACAAGGTGATTAACATTCATAAATGAGCTGGGATATCATCATCTCAATATGCATAATAAATTAGACACATGAAACCTCCACTAACTCGTACAAGGTGATAAACATTTTTATACAAGGCTGCATATTATCATCTAAATACATAATAAATTTTTTAAATAGAACAACCACCCTCTAAATTAGATTTAACAAGTTAAACCATATTAATAACAAACTAGTGTTTATGTCTGATTGTCCATTAGGAGCATTGTTTGTGGAAATATGAACAGTTATTTATGGCCATAGTTGCAACCAATGGCTTTTTTCAATAAATGTTCATGTCTGGTCATGAATAGAAATTATAATTTGGAAGAAAAAGAACAAGAGATTAAGTGCTCCAGCAAAAACAGACATGTGCGAATATTTTACATTCAACCAGCAAACAAAGGGAACCAACCTCCATACAACCCTTCATATTCAACAAACCAACACATATCAAACACACTTCACATGAAAACACTTCATAATATATCCTAAGAATTATATTAGAATAACATGACATGACTCACCAGCACATTCTTCTACACACATCATCACAAATCACTCACAACAACAATGTCCAACTTTTTCATACCCACCATCCACTATCCTAACTTACATACATAAAATCACATATTGAACATTATTTGGCTAATAAATCTTAACTTTACACTTGGGAGTCAATTAACACAACTCAATTAAGGCTTTGTAATTACTAAAAGTAATCTAACCTAATAGCAAACAGCCCGCATAAATGATAAGTTCATTCTGCAATCATGTTATTTCTAGTCAAACACAACTCCAACAACATAAAAAAAATAAATCCCTTTTGAATAATTTAGAAACTTGACTAATCTCTGTATATACCTATTTATCTCACCCTGTAGTAGAGATTTCCTATAAATTCCACAAAATCAAAATAATAACGAAAACCGAAAATGAAATCAACAAGTGGCACCAATTGCAGTTCAATTATTGCTGCTGGACTTTTGAAAAACCCTGCAAAATAAATTTTTTCCCCATACCATATGTATCTCCTGAATTACCTGTGTTATATATAAAGAAAACGTTCTCAATGGACCCTAGTCACTTTTTTATGTTAAAAATTATTTTTAAAAAAATCTTTAGCAAAATTTTCTCTTTCTATTATTGCTTAGCCACCATGAAAATCGGGTAAAACAACAATTGTAAGAAAGAGGTAAAAATTCTCAACATTCTGCCAAAATTTGGATAGTAAAGACCATTCGCTCAATGCTACAAAAATTTTCACCAATTTTTTATTTCTTCAGTTTTTTTATTAACACGTTGACTACGTATTGGTACATATGCGTACCACGAAATGTATTTCTCCAGGAAGTAGTGGTACATAATTCAGGTTGCCTAAAATAGGCCAAATCTGAGAACAAAAAAGGCCAAAAAAGGCCAATAATTCAATGTATACTAGTTTATTTGCAGGTTCCGCTATAAAAATTCCATTTATTTTCTTTTTACAGTATTTAAAATTTAATTAGGAAGTACCCCTATCATAAATTTTAGCCAGCCAACGCAATTGAGAAAAACTAAATCACGGAATTTGTCCGGAAAGAATGACCGTCTGGCAACCCTGCTTGAAAAAAGTACAAAAAATGAAATAATTGTACAAGATGAAGCAATCGTAGTCAACGTGTTAAGACGCTTTTTTTGAGTGTATCAGTACACAAGATTTTCATTCAGAGCCTGCTGCACAAGGGGAGAAAAATAATGTTTGGAAATAATAATAAGTTTGAAACGCTTGCAAGCTGGAGCTGATTCACAGGATTTTATTTTAAAATCACATTTCTTGAGAATTTGTTATTCCCCAATGGGGAATTTTGGAAAACAAGACTCATGTTCTGTCAATCTAAAATCAGATCCTATAATGGGGCCAAATTTCAGCTCTGTGCAAATGCTGGAACATAGAGAATGGCATCAAGTGATACCTACATTTTTTGTGTACAAGTGCTAAAGACCTCTGTGTCATTTAACTTTAACTTTATAGTGTTAAGTTTTCTCTTCAACAAATAAATGATTGTGTTCAAATGCATGCAACAAGAAATAGAATTTAGAAAATCCTCTTCAATCAGACAATCCATTAGAATTGTACAATGTACTTAAAACTTGTGCATTAAATACCCTAGACAAGTACGTTGATTGAAAACTATATAAATGGATTATTATGTCAATAACATTTCACATGAACATCTCACCTCTGGCCCATCAGTGCAGTCAGAGGAGTCCTCAGGGTTTCTCCCACTCAAGGCTCCTAAAATTTGAGAACTTCATTCAAACATTGGGGGGAAAATTAGTTGCTTCTATTGATAGCATGAATGCGTTCAAGAACAGACTAGATAAAGCTATGGAAAAACATATGTTCAGAATTGAAATGCCTAGCACCATATCGAACCCGGTGGAAGTCTACTAGCTACTTCAAACTATCTTCAGTCATGAAAAGATCCGGTCAAATGACACGATATTAGATCTTCTGTGAACAAGGCACGAAAAGTAAAAGAATCGGCAACAGGCCACATCAGGCCTACAACATCACTATGTTATGTTATGCTATGTTATGTTATGTTATGATATGTCACTATGAATCAGCCAGGGGTGAAGCATCAAGACCTTCTTGCAGGTCAAGAAAATTACATAGAATAATTATATGAAATTGTGAGAGAGATAAAATTAATTAAGGTTATAAACACATTTATTAAATGAAAATTTGCCCCTTCTGGAAATTTGCCTTCTATTGTAATAAAGTGAATAAAAGATGTAATAATGTAAATGATTCTTCAACAAATCACACAATGAAATTTTCTCCATATTTAATAAAAGGAAATAAATTATATTTGTAGTTCTACAGGCACTCAGTTAAAGATCAAAGCCAAGTAAAATTCAATAATAATTTTAGTATAAATTAATATCTTTGCTTAAGCAATTTTGAAACCCAAAAAATACTTTATTCAGCTGAATAAAAACATTCCATATAAGTTAAGTGAAACACTTGATATTATGTGTTCCTCATACCATAAAATTTCTGTACATACTAGTGACATAATTAAACATTCAGTGCATGTAAGAGGGTTTTTACCAAACCTGTTACTGAAGCATCAAGCTTTCAAACAATGCACACAAACCAAATAGTAAATCAAAAACTAATAGTTTCAAATATTTACACGAAAGTTAATATCTTCATGCATGGGATTTCATCATAGTTCCAAATCTACTGTATTGCTGTTAAATTAAGATAATGAAATAAAGGTTTTGTTGGTCATGGAACCTTCATACTCAAGTCATATTATTAAACCTGAACCTAAATTATTCATAACATAATTGCTTCACTAGAAAAAGTAAAACTTATGTAACTTGTGGGGAATCAAAAAGTTATGAGAAAACAGTATAAAGCAAGAGTACATTAATTAAATCACTCACAAACCAAAGATGCAGCAGCTCAAAAATCAAACAAAATCATAACTCACGCTTCAGTCGTTTTTTTCGCATGATGAGCTGAAAATCATGGCTTTGCCTGTACGCTTGGAGTTCATTGCGGTATCTGTTCTTCTCTTGCTCACAGCGCCTCTTGTATACATCTCGTTGAGGCTGAGCTAGACAGTTCCATTCAGCTGCTACAAGTTTGGTAATCTGAAGCATAAATTAAAAATACTTACAGCACATTGAATTAATGTTGTTGGAGTAAAATTGAGCTAATAAAACTCAACAGCATATATAAAAGTAAATTAAAGTGGCAATGCATTTAAATATATAATCAATGCTGAAAATTTTCAATGTCTATGTCGTCATAATTATAACAAGAACTCAACCGGAGTGTTTTAGATACAGAAGAGCAGATAACTTGATGGAAAATGCACCTCTCCAAAGCTGTATTTGTGGGGATCATAAAACTTGCGTCTATCAGCCAGAAAAAGGACATAGGCAGTTTGAGGAGCTTTAGGAGGTTTAGCGCCAGGAATTTCTGGTTTCCTTTTCCTTCCTTTAGGCCATCCTCCACGTCTCTTTACTGGCGGGCACTGCAGCAAAGAAAAAAGATAAGGAAACTTCAACAATATCACAAATGGTTTCTAGTAAAAAAATGAAATCAGTGATGTCATCAAGCAAGTTTGGATGAATTTAGCAATAAAATTATATAAATTATCCATAGGTTATTTTAATTTTCTATAAAAATATTTGTGGCCAGTTTGTGCTATACATGTGTGCTACACTGTTGCCAACATTTTAATTTGACTCATTTGTCTGCATCTTGTTGCAGACATTTACTGACCTCATTAACCTAATTTTTACATGGAAATTTGATAGATTCAGCAGGCCTTTCTAAAACTCTGAATTCTACAGTGGTTGTCTGCTAAAAACTGAACAGATTGGTTGTGTGGCACACAGAGTTATAACATTCAACAACTGAGAAATAATATCTGAGCTTCAATCATTGTCTTATTTGATTAAGAATCATACTAATATAGTTCATTTTTTGAAATATAATAAACAAAATCTAGTTACAACCTCAATTGCATGGATCACACATGTAATCCATGCAACCACTCTAAGATAACACATTGAATGCGATGGTCTTAACGCAAGCTGCCTGCTGGTGCAATAATGTTCAAATTCCAATTGAACCTCCCAATTGAAAAATACATATAATTGTCTTCTTATTCATTTAAAGAGTAAATAAATATTTCCTACTGTTTCAAACCCATTGTTGTATGAGTTCTGGTTCTTATTCATTGTAGTATCATTCATTACTGAATAAAATTCCTGTCAAATTTGATTCATTTTTATGTGTTACGCTTGTGTTTGCATTAATTAATTTTAAATATTATTATTATGCACTTGAGTTTTGCACATCATCACTGCCTAATTCCCCACCCTACTTTTTATATGCTGAAGTAAAATTAGGGTCACAAAAAACACTGCAATGATGATTGTCTGGACAGTTTTACAACGCATTTATATTTATAATTATTTGTTTTTCCATTGTTGTGTAATTGCAATTTCATTCCACTCAAGCTAACACAATTTTCATTTTTAGCTGAATATTCATTTGCATATTTTAAATTTAGCAGAAGCCGTTGTTTCATCAAGTATTTTAACTTTTCACTAACACATCTTTTACTAACAGAAAATAAATTCTCAATAAAACAAATTACATATAAATTAAATAATTATCATTCTTCCAAAACAAGCACTATCAAGTGAATTCTCACTCTAATCCAATAAGGTTGTTTAACCCCCTGAGGAACCAATTACAATGTAATACGTAATTCAATTTCAATTAAGTCCGTGACTAATATGTTCCAAAGATATTTAGAATTGAACCAAGTTCTACTCTGCAATACTGCTTGGGAAGTAAAGCTCTTTCAGCCATTTAATTCTGAACCACACATTTTATCCTCCACCATAGCATTAATTACTGGATTGATAACTCCCCCATATTTTACAATACAACTAAATGCCATTTATATGAATTTCCCTATCAAGAGCCAATAGATATATTAGCAAAGCAATTAATAACTTCCTTTGTCTCATTGAATCAATGGACATAAATATGGTGTTTTCAATAACCTTCTACTGTAATCCATTCCTCTGCATTTGTTTGTATCATTAAATCACCAATGATTTATGCCCTTAATTATTGCGTATCCCTCAGCTCATCATGGTTGTTACAAGTTTCTGTAGCAGCTGTCTCCTGTCTCCTCTTAAAAAACTTGCAGCCACAGTCCGCCCCCTATTTCCTCAAAAGGGCTCATAGGTCACATTACCTTTCAGCCAACTCTCATTGGTCCGCCATGACATTCCATATTCTGCAGGACATTAGCTTTTTCACTTTAGCCACACTTTCATTTTCACTTTAGCTACACTTTCATAGAGGCAACAGCTTCACTACCATGTATTTTTCACCTCTACATCTTCCCAGCCTTCTCTTGCCTTCCTAGATATTTTCCAGACTCAATAAACATCTTTGCCATTCATGGCACTGCCTCATGATGGACTACACAACTTGACACTTGCCACAAATTTTGTTTTTCTTTCACAAAAGATTATAGAACAGTGGAATGAGGTGTCATCATAGACATTTTCCCCTCTCTCTCCGTATTATCTCTCCCTTTGGAATCCTCACTCAATTATGACCCACTATCCCACCCTGCACCATTCTAATAGATCTATAATATATAAGCGCACATTTCCTCCTCTACTCAGCTTGGGATATACATATCAAACAAGAACTCTAACCACCTCCCCATTACGATCCACTGGCCGCCCTCACACACTGTGCTAGCTCCTTGGTCAGCTTGCATGATTGGTAATTTTATAAGAGCCAACTGTCTTGCACCTATGGCCTTAGTTGACACCANCTTGGTCAGCTTGCATGATTGGTAATTTTATAAGAGCCAACTGTCTTGCGGCTATGGCCTTAGTTGACACCATCCTTCCCTACACCCTGTTAGGGGGTTACCCGGTTAGGCAACTCTTATTCTTCCCTCTACCATGTTAGGGGGTTAGGAAACTCTTATTCTTCCCTCCACCCTGTTAGGGGGTTAGGAAACTCTTATTCTTCCCTCCACCCTGTAACGGGTTAGGCAACTCTTATTCTTCCCTCCACTCTGTTAGGGGGTTAGGCAACTCTTATTCTTCCCTCTACTCTGTTAGGGGGTTAGGCAACTCTTATTCTTCCCTCTACTCTGTTAGGGGGCTAGGCAACTCTTATTCTTCCCTCCACCCTGTAACGGGGTTAGGCAACTCTTATTCTTCCCTCCACTCTGTTAGGGGGTTAGGCAACTCTTTAAGGCATCACAGCTGCAGTCAATAAACATAAATATATCACATTGTGTAATGCTGCCTTTAAAATATTTTCTGACAGAGCCAAACCATTTTAACAAGCATGGACGAGGTCAGATAACCAAGATTTGAAATGGCTCATAGTTCATGAACTCTGAATAGGGATCAAAGCACATACAGAAGCACATACAATGTTAAGAGAGTATGAGTGATACCAATGAAAATTTCCAGAAACTTAGTGCAACAACAAATAGATGGAATTTTGATCCAACTTTTGGCAGATTGGAACTTTACCAAACCTAATAAGATAAAATGCAGGACAGTTCTTCAAAAATAATTTAAGAGAATGACCAGTTTGCCTTATCAAAGTTTTTATTGTTAAACAAAATAATTTTCTTTATTGGGAACTTATCATCATGGCCATAGAGATTGCTAGCCTAATATGAGAACTTTTTATAATGCATTTATCAAAAACCCAATCAATTAAAATTATTAAGGTAAATCGCATACAGCTTGCAAGAAGTCAAATTGCCTTTCCATTTGTCCTCATTCATAAATTAGCATTTTTTCATTGAAGTGCACAAATGGATGTTATAACTGATAAATATAAAATTGCAATACTGAACCATGCAGGTAATAGAAAGACACACAAATTTGTAAACAGTTTTAACTACATGTACCTTATCATTTAAAATGGAAATAAACTGAAATTGTTACCTTTGGTAGAGCTGAGGACGAATCAGTAAAGCATTTATTTCCATCACCAACATCAGCCGAGCAGCTGGCAAGGGCAGATCGTGATATGGCACTGCGAGATTTATTTCGAAGTGATGATGCGGAGTGACAAGGATTCACTTGAAAATCAACTGACTTGCTTGCTTGTGGGTCTTGACAGGATAAAGGCAAAGGAATAAATAAAAGAGAACTTCTCTCATCTTGAGTAGAATGAGACATATCAAGATTAATTGAAGAGCAATGCTGAGGTTTATTTCCTAAGGACTCCTGGGTCAAAGGAAAATCCTTCAAGCTACTCAATGAGCTGAGTGACATCTCCCAAATGGTCTTATTCTCACTAGACTCAGACTTATTGGCATGAGTTCTGAATTGGCAAGGCAAGTTTTGTAATGTGCTATCAACTGCACATGAACATGAGGATTCAGATGCACTTTCAGTGGATGATTCAACAAGCTCATCCAAAGAGCTTCCCATTCCACTTGTTTCACCATCAGTTGTTGTGTCGGGATAGTGTACGCTTGCAACCTGCAAAAATCAAACGGGTATGAGTCAAACAAACAATAAAGTCATAGTGCATCACACAATAAATAAAAATATTCAATGTTTCCTGAAAACAATTAATTTATTGCATTCACTTCCCTGGTAAAACATTATTTTTAAACTGTAATGGGAACATCCAACAAGCAAAGAAATCAAATGAAGCTAAAACCAAAAGGCATGATAGAAAAGCAAATAAAGTCATATAATTACTGACCCGCTTGACCATTCTTCTATTCAGAGCCAACAAGTCTTTTCTAGGACCTCTGTAACTCTTGGGTTGGGAAGCCCATCTATCGGAAGGGCTGAGAAAATCTTCAACTTCAGTGTCATCTTCATCAAATGAAGAATTACCTACTTTATACACAATATTATTCACTTTATTAGTTTGATGAGGCATGTTGCCAGGAAGGAAAATGTGCCTACCAGAAGATATGTTGCTCTTAAGGTTCAAAGAAATTTTATTCATCTGTGTGGGAACAGAAGGTTGCAATCTACTCAATGCATAATCTGCTGGAGTGTTATTTAAAATCTTTGACAAACAACCTATTTGAGGTGTTGCTGAGGAATTTTCACTTGCACTTTTTCTGGATTTGATGGATGCATTGTCAAATGATGTAAGTAAACCATGATCAAAATGAAATGACTTGGACAAACTGTCGGCAGCATTGAGATTTTGTTTTGGCTTTCCTGTCAAAATTTCCGGATTTTCAGGATTGAGTAGATTTGAGTGCTCACTTTTTGCAGCCTTATTATCATTTTTAGACACATTTTGGATATAAGTTAATTTAGCTGAAGGAAGAGATTCAGGCGAGCAGGTAGCAACTGTTTTAGTGGAAATGAATTCACTATTCAACTTGTTCTCTTCTACAGAGTCTTTAGTTGAATAACAGCACTGTACTTCAAAAGTGGGAGCTAATTTAGTTTTATTTCCAACGGGGATTTCACCAATTGATTGATAATGGCAAAATGCTTTGTCAGTTGAGGCCAGAATAGATGTGCTGAGTTTTCTCAAACTGCATGTAGATTTTTCAGGTTTGAGGTTGTTTCCTACTGCTTTAGAGAAAATTGCATCATTTTTGATTGGATGCTTTGATAACTTTTCACCAAATGTTTGAGTAGAAGTTGCAGTTTTTACGGTAGGCAGAAATGTTGAATCAACAAATGTAGATACTGTAGCTTTATCTTTGAGGGCAGTGGGTTGGAGAGGAACACATGGTAATGTTGGAGGAGCAGGCTTCATATCCTCAGATGACCAGCGACTAAATCTTGACATCACGTTACAGATCTGAAAAATTAAGAAAATAATACTAGCAGTATTATAGAGTGAATACCAGATCTTAACAAAATTAGAAGTTTTTGAGATATAAACTAAATTTAATAGGTACCTATATAAACAAATGATAAACACATCATAAAAAACACACTGAGGTTCATGATACGGTACATATAAATATAAATTTTAAAATCAAAAACTAACTTGGGAGCTTAGAAAATGGATGTGAACATTCGTCTTTTCCCTCAAACAATGACACTAATCTAATATAAAGATAAACAACAGGTAAGCTTTTGAAGCAATAAAGAATACCTAATGATAAAAATACTTCAATGAAGTACCGTCATCCGGGGCTACTCGGGACAATTTTGAACGTTCTTCATTCATAACTTCTTACCATGAAACATTTCATAAACAAGTTTAGGCTCATTTCAAAGCTCTTTGCAAGGGCTATCACATGGCCTCTCCAAAAAAATTCCATATGCTATTTGTAAGGTGCCAGAAGCAAAAAAAAAGTGTCCCGAGTAGCCCCCTTGAACGGGGCTACTTGGGACACTTGACACTTGGAATAAAACTTAATTTTAAAACATTTGAAGCATGCAGAGTGTACTCATCCATTACTAACAGTACAGTGAAATCCTCCTCTTTCATTGTAGATGATGTAAAGGTAGAATAAATGACATTTTCTGTGATTTTTACTTGTTTTTCCTTTATTGATACGATATTACCATATACATTAATTACCCTACTGTATTATTGATGCGATATTACCATATTTTTAATGCAATATTACCATATCCATGAACATGCCATTGAGCATTTACAACAACCTTGTCCACTGCAAGCTTCATATTAACAGCCTTATATCATTTTTTCTGTATCTGTAAGCTTACAGGACGGCTTGCAATTTCACACCATTTTAATTGGGTTAAGTGAATTTACTATAAAAAAATTGTAAAAAACATACCTGAAACAGAAAGGAATGTTTTAGTGACAACCACCATATGTTTTGGAGAAATAAATCATAGTTCAGGTCTATTACTTTTTATTCTATGATGCCTGGTGCACAATTCTATATATGACATTCTATGCACAATTTTGTGATGACCGATGATGCACTAATTTTTCGATAAGTGAAATTTTTTTGCTGAGCGAGGTTAATGTAATCAATATTCTTTGTTTTTTTAATCAATTTTTTTCTTAACTGGAGCCTTTGCTAACTGAGGTTCTACTGTAAATGTGTTTTTGGGGGTGTGGGGGTGTCCTGAATAGCCCCGGGGGGGTGTCCTGAGTAGCCCCGCCATGCGGAAATGGCTGCCATTTTTTTTTTTGGATTGAGGTATGTAAATTCTGCAAATAAAGTTTTCATGCTGACACTTGTATGCCACTTTTTTCTAAGTGAAATTTTTTACTACGGCAAATATTTTTTTACTACAGACCTTAGCAGAAGTAACTTTTCAAAATATCATTTTTCACCATTTTTTCAGGAATTTTTCAAAGCTAGCAAATGTAGTATTTTTGAACTTCATTTATACTACATAGATAGGAAAAATGTTGACATTTACACACCACTATATTTAGTTTTGCAATATTCCAATTAGTTTTGCTACTAAAACAGTTTTATGCCGTGTTGGACTGTCCCGAGTTACCCTGCCCATCCCGAGTACCGTCAACCGGGGCTACTCGGGACAGGTGGGGTAACTCGGGACAGTCCTCCGACATGGCGTAAAACTGTTTTAGTAGCAAAACTAATTGGTATATTGCAAAACTAAATATAGTGGCATCACAGAAAATGCCATTTATTCTACCTCTACATCATCTGCAATGAAAGAGGAGGACTTCAGAGTACTGTTAGTAATGGATGAGAGTACACTCTGCATGCTTCAAATGTTTTAAAATTAAGTTTTATTCCAAGTGTCTCGAGTAGCCCCGTTCGACGGGGCTACTCGGGACACTCTTATTTTGCTTCTGGCACCTTACGAATAGCATATGGACATTTTTGGAGAAGCCATGTGATAGCCCTTGCAAAGAGCTTTGAAATGAGCCTAAACTTGTTTATGAAATGTTTCATGGTAAGAAGTTATGAATGATAAATGTTCGAAAATCGTCCCAAGTAGCCCCAGTTGATGGTAGCCCTAGTTGACGGTACCAGATTTGGATAACATTTGGATAAAAATTATTTATTCTTTTCTATGATATTTACCAACAATATGCTTGTTCAAACTATAACTTCAAGTTTGATATTTTTTGTATTAACCAACAACAGAAGCCCATAAAATAAGTTTTAACAAATATGTCATTACTAAAAGCCTACAGTTGTCAGATGGTGGTGTAAATTTAACCCTGGTCACTTCCATAAAGACGGCTCTAACACGCACTCGTTCCCTAGTAAATGTGTTGATCTAGCTGCCTCATCTATTTTTCTTTTAATACGTACTTCAAATGGCCTTATGAGAAATAATTATTACTTTAGAGTTGACACTACTTACCCTCTAATAATCATTTGGACAATTGATTGAACCATAAATAACTTGTACATTTTATTTAATTAAAAGTGCTCCTGAGTGTCACTAAAAAGACATCTGGACAAAATTGGTGCCTGAATGCTAAATGGCAATATCAGACAGTGCATCAGACGTTGATACTACAACTAAGAAATGGGGCCAGTTTAAGTGCTTAAAATTTGAAATGTTACTTACATAGACTTTGCACACAGGTGCTGGCTTAAAAATGTGATTGACTGAATTGCTTCAGCAAAATAATCTGACGGTGATTTCCAAGTAGTAGTAGTTCCAAAGTAGTTCCAAAACTAATCTGGGAAGATGGATCAAGAACAAGCAGCTGCACCAACATCCACAGCAGCATAAGCGCACCGTCAAATGGGGTAATGAGGGACAGGCGGGGTATTAAGGGATGGGTGGGGTAATAAGGGACAGTCCTCCGACACTTTGTAGAAATGTTGCAGCAGCTAAGCTAATTAAAATATTGCAAAACAAAAATAGTGGCATAAAGTTCAACATTTTTCCTATCTATCTAGCATAAAGCAAGTTAAGAAATCATACACTTACTTACTACCTACCTCTAAAAAATCATTGAAAAAAGTGTTAAAAGTGAGATTTTGGAAAAGTACCTCTACTAAGGCCTGTAGCAAAAAAAAAATTCACTGTATTTAAAAATGCTACTTACATAAACTTTGCACACAGGTGTTGGATTAAAAATGTGATTGACTGAATTAGCGTATCTCATTCCAGAAAAAAATGGCTGCTATTTCCGTGCAATGGGGTAATAAGAGTCATGCCCCTGGGGTAATAAGGGACACCCTCCTGGGGTAATAAGGGACACCCTCCTGGGGTAATAAGGGACACCCTCCTGGGGTAATAAGGGACACCCTCCTGGGGTAATAAGAGACACCCTCCTGGGGTAATAAGGGACACCCCTGAAAACGAATTTACAGTAGAGCCTTGGTTAGCAAAGGCTCCAGTTAACAAAAAAAGTACTTAACAACAAAGAATTTTATAAACATTTACCATGCTCAGTGAAAAAATTTCACTTGACAAAAAAATTAGTGCATCATTGTCATCGCCAAACTGCATAGAATGTCATAGATAGAATTGTTCACTTGGCAATATAGAATGAAAATTAATTAACCTAAACTATGATTTTTTCAAAGAAATTGATGATTGTCACTAAAATATCCCTATGTGTTTCAGGTATGTTTTTTACAAATTTTTTGTTATAGGTACCTATAGTGAATTCACTTGACTCAATTAAAATGGTGCGAAATAACAAGCCGGCCTGTAAGTTGACCTACAGAAGAAACGCAATACAGCTGCTGATAGTATGAAGCTTGTAGTGGACAAGGTTGTTGTCAATGTTCAATGGCATGTCCATGGATTAGGTAATATCACATCAAGAATACAGTAATGTAAGGATAAAGTAATATCATGTGAATAAAGGAAAAACAAGTAAAAATCACTTAAAATGTCATTTATCCAACATTTACATCATCTACAAAGGAAGAGGAGGACTTCAGAGTACTGTTAGTAATGGAGGAGCTCACTCTGCATGCTTCTAATGTTTTCAAATTGAGTTTCATTTCAAGTATCCCATATTACCCAGCTCCCAGGGTTGGTTTAGGAGGCTTTCATTTTGCGTCTGGCACCTTATGAATAGCATATAGAATTTTTTCAAAGATGCCACACGATAGCACTTACAATTACCTTTGAAATGAGCGCAAACTCATTTATGAATTGTTTCATGTTACATAGTTATTAAGGAAAAAGGCTCAAAACCGTCCCTTATTACCCTGTTTGACGGCATGCCAATGCTTTTACATCAGCTCCGGCATCAGTACCTCCAATAAACGGTTTCAGCTGTATCTTCTTGACTTTCAATGCATACCTACCTTTGCCTGGATCATCTGATGACCTAGGTCAAATCATGTACTAGTGCAACATACCCATAAAAAATTGGACAACTCATGGGAATTGGTAGCTAGACACTTGTATAAAGTAGCAATGACATTTGTCAAACAACCTGGTTACAATGCCAAAGAAAATAAAATATCCAATGTTGATATAATGATGCAACTTTTCTTTGTCATGGGCTCAAGTTTGGGCTTCTTGCAATATGTAGTGACAAATCTTCCAATCAATTTTATCAAGTTTTGTTGCCCTTTTCTACTTTCTTGTGATACTGTCAAATAGGGTAAAAAGGGACGGTTTTGAGCATATTTTGTTAATAACCTCTTAACATGAAACATTTCATAAAGAAGTTTGGGCTCATTTTAAAGGTCTTTGCAAGGGCTATCGTATGGCATCTCCAAAAAAAATCCACATGCTATTTGTAAGGTGCTAGACGCAATATAAAAGGCTCCTGAATTAATCTGGAAATGGGTTAAAAAGGGACACTTGAAATAGTACCTAAAACTCAATTTCAAATATTTGAAGCATGCTGAGTGTACTCATCTATTACTAACAGTACTCTGAAAGCCTCCTCTTCCTTTGTAGATGATGTAAATGTAGAATGAAATTTCTGTGATTTTTACTTGGTTTTTCTTCATTGATGTAATATTACCTTATCCATACATCACCATATTATTAATGTGATATTACTGTATCCATGGACATGCCATTGAGCATTGACAACGACCTTGTCCACTGCAAGCTTCATATCAGCAGCCATGTAGCATTTCTTCTGTATCTGTAAGCTTACAGGATGGTTTGTAATTTTGCACCATTTTAATTGAGTCAAATGATTTCACTATAACAAAAAAGATTGTAAAACAACATACCTGAAACAGGAAGGAATATTTTAGTGACAACCATCATATTTTTTTGGAGAAATAAATCATAGTTTAGGTTAATTACTTTTCATTCTTTATTGCCCAGTACTCAAATCTGTGACATTCTATGCTCAATTTTGTGATGACTGATGCAGTAATTTTTTATTAAGTGGAATTTTTTTTCACTGAGCAAGGTAAATGTAGTATAGAAAGTATATTATGGTTTGAGACTTTTAAATAAGTCTGTGAATGTATTAGGAATCCTTCAAGTATACTTGTATTTGCTGATTCTAAGTGGTAAATACATAAATAGATGATTGATTTAAGAAATGATTTAGACACATAAAAACTAATTCTGACACAGTGTCAGACTTATGATTCACAGCCGTGACGTGACACAGGGTGTTGTATTCCGACACAGCTCACACGGGGTGTTGGAATTACGATTTTGAAGCGCCATCAGAATTAGTCTCACAATATGCCGCATTTAGTCACACACAGTGTTGGACTGACGGAATTCAGCGATTTTGTAGATTTGAATTCTAAAGGCTTTTAAATAAATATGGCAACAGTTTGCAACGTTTCATCATTGCCACACTCAGGATAATGCAGGTTTTCAGGGAATTTTCCCGCGCATATTGAGTTTTTTTAACCGAATGGTTGGCGCAGCTTGCACAGTCATCTAAATATTTTTTTCTTTGCGCAGGCGTTTGCGCAGATTCCGGTCATCCATCACACCCCGCACAGAAGTCGGCGCATAATAAAGTTTGTCAAGGAACAAACAAAAAACTCAAAATATCCTATATGAGTTTAATTATCCATCAACAATATATGATTTTCCTTTATATGGAAATTTTCCTAAATAAAAATATAGAAATTCATTTTAGAAGAAATTTTCTACAAATTCCTTATGGCAACATCCAACCATCGTTTGTTTACCTTTTGTATCTAGGTAATCAGTTATTCTGACTGGACGTGATGCAAGTGGTAAAGAACCAAGTCCTCACAAATTGAACCTATGACGAATGAAGTAATCAAGTACCAGGTATTAGTATTAGATGGCAGGTTTAGCTTATTCTATATATATACTAATAGTGCGCCAATAGATTAGAGGTTCTACAGTTATTGAAAGGAGTCAGAGATAATTTCATTCTAATTGATGGGAAAATAGTTTGACGGCAAAATCTTTTGTGAATAAAATATTTCTTGACGTACCATCATCAGAAATTTCAAATGGAATGGTATGGCAACATCGTCTTTATAGACTTTTATGTAACACTGATACATCGCCATGTGTCATGTGATGTGTCCTCTTGATTGATTAAAGCAATTCATATTATAGAAATGCTTGTTGTTCATCTTAATCGTCTATATAATTTAATAAGTAACCTCCAAAGTTGCAAAAATCGAGAACTGATAACTTAAAAAAAAGTGCAGTGCCTGTATTTTTGTTTTCAATGGGTTTGCACCGCACAAACCCGTTTCTCCAGCCTGGAGGATGTCGGGAATGTAACATATTCCTGACATTGACATTCGGGTTTGTACTATTTGCCAAAGTCAGTCCTTCGTTAGAAGGAACCAATCTCAAGCCATGTGGATTATTGCCTTCTACTATTCAGTTTTGTAATTGATTTCCAACCGAATTGTGATCTATGAAAAATGAATAAATATTCATATCATTGCCGACTCTTAGAAACTGAGTTAACACATTACAAATCTAGTCAACGTGATGCAGATATTTGTTTGTGTGTGATAACGTTGCCACGCATTCATCTTTAAACAACTTTAGGAGCACGGCGCAGGCTGGCGCACGGTGCACTTTTTTACCGGGATATTAAGGCGCACGGCACAAATTGATGCAATGATAATAAAAATTCCCGCGCACCTGGCACATCTTCCTGACCATGGCATCATTGCTGGTGCCGGATGATTAGGGTTTGGCATGGATGCGTGTTGCTGATATTCAAATTGATCATTGGCATTCAGAAGGTTGTTATTATAGCTTTCCAGCCTAGGCAGGAACCACTGTGCAGAGAGTGGATGAATATAGCAAGATCTTTGGCGATGCTTCAGTAGCCAAATTTTCGCCTTCAGAAGATCTTGCCGAAACATTTAGATTGAAATTCTTGCATTTAATATATTTCTCAGTCTTCGGCCAACTATTTAGAAAAAAAGTAAGGTTTCCGGTACGTTGGATGGATTACGATGCAGCGAAGCTTGTCCGGAAATCAGTTGCGATGAGTTCCCGCAAAAAAATGTAAACAACGTTTTTTCAATTGCGTAGTTTTGGTCCCATTAGAGCGGTCAGACTGCTTTATTACATGTTCAGTTGACACTTGCTGTACAATCGGACTGTTTTTAAGGTAAAATTAGTTATGTGGGGTAACACGTGCCTGCAACCTTTAAAATGTTTGTGACTTGTAAATAGTTCGTCATTACTCAGGGTAAATGGCTTTTCATTAAAAATTACCCGGCGACGCATCTTTAAAATGGCCGGCGATGCTTTGGGCTTAAAAATCCATATATTGGGGACGCTGCATCCACCCTCTGCATAGTGGGGCAGGAAGCCCTCAAATGTATCTGTGTCATTAACATGTAAGTCGTCCATGTCATGTACCTCAACCTCTGTACTAGGTAGGACAGTGTCATTGAGGCTGAGAGGCAGCATTTGAGACCAGGTTGGCATTGCACTTGCAGAGAGATTAGGCTTAGAGAGTGATGCAGAGTGAGGATTGGTCTCGGAGCAGTCAGAATGTCAGATGATACTGAAGCAGCATCCCCTTGTTCCTGAGTTTGGGCATTTTTTCTGTTTTTTGTGTAATTTGGCGGATTCAACTATTAAAGCAATGCAAAATTCAACTATCAATGCAATAATCTCAATTAAATATTCGTCGTCACACGTCGATAAGTGGGCAGAAAA